GGCTGATGCAACCGCTTCCAACTGCAGCCGCGTCAGGCTATCGGAATCCCCCTGGCCCACCGAAGCGAGCGCGTCCGGGTTGAGCGGTTGCGGCACCTCGCCCGAGTTGAGATAGGTGACAAGCTCCGCGCGGGTGCCGACTGCTCTGGGGCGAGTGATAGCCATGTCCTTCAACAGCGCGCGAAGCTCGACTAGAGACATCTTCTGCAGCTGCTCGAGGCTTGGCATCTTTGCAGCCAAATCCATCGAGCCCACGACCATACCAGGCCCATCCGCTACAGCCTCCGCCGCTCGCTGGGCCTCTTCATCTGCATGGGCAGCAAGCTCCCCGGTCCATTTTGGAAGAGGTAAGACATCCCCCAGCGGCTCGGTGTCATTGTCGTGAAAAATGAGAAAAATAGCGGGGAGTCAGACAGTGAAGCGAGAGAAGCCCTCACGGGATAACACTGACCCAAGCCAAAAGATAATCCGCCAAACCATAACAAGGGCCCCACTATCATCTTCGCCTTCGTCTCGATGTTGTCGCGATTGCGCCACCGGCAAAAATGAAAAAAAGCCTGGCTGCGCAATCACTGAAACCACCGAGGAAATGAGGCCACTGACTACACAACTACGCAAGACTACCCCCACGCGACCACTATGCAACTACATAGCGCAGCCGCCTTACATCTACAGCGAGAGCAATACAGGCAGTAGCACGCTCTTCCCCTCCATGTAGCGAAGCTCGTCCAACTCGTCACCCACCCAGTCCGGCGCGGCTTCTCCGTCCATTCTGCAAGGACGCGAACGAGAAGAGACGAGACGAGAGCAGGCGCGACTACCTTTTTCTCAGAGTGACCTGATGTAGGTTGCTCGGTGACTGACTACTACGACTCGACGGCTGACTCCCACTCAAGTCAATACTTCACAAACCACTCAGCTGACTACTACGTCTTACCCGAATCAATGAGAGCCCATAGAGATCAGAAGACCCAACACCGCGCCACCAGTCATCGTCAGAGGATCTGCACTAGTCACCAGAAAGATGGACCATAACACAGCGCGCACCATCTTGGTCCCGTGGACGTCTCTACCTATTTAATTTGGACCAGTCCGAGAGCTGTCGCCGAGAGGTTGCTGCACTATACATAGACGCAACTTGCTGAAGTGAACTATCGACATCACTCGCGGAACAATCAAGACGACTCTCGCTGCTGAACCGTCCGTCGCAGAATGTACCGCGCTGAACTATCAGCCGCACTTTCTGAACTATCGACGGAACTCTCTTCCCGAACTATCGGCGGAACCTGCTGAACTATCGACAGAACTTGCTGAACTATCGGCAGGACTTCCTGAACTATCCACAGAACTTGCCGAACTATCAACAGAACTTGCCGAACTATCGGCCGAACTTGCTGAACTATCAGCAGAACTTACTGAACTATCAGCAGAACCTACTGAACTATCAGCAGAACTCACTGAACTATCAGCAGAACCTCCTGAACTATCAACAGAACCTCCTGAACTATCAACAGAGCTTGCCGAACTATCAGCGGAACTTGCTGAACTATCAACAGAACCTGCTGAACTATCCGCCGAACTTACTGAAGTATGGTATCAGCAAAACTTACCGAACTATCAGCAGAACTTGCTGGACTATCAACGTAATTTGCTGAGGTATAGCGCTGACGGGCGGCGTGGTTAAGTAAAACTACGCCCAGACGCAGGGGAGACAAGAAATGCCCTCACATGCCGCCGGTGCCACCGACGAACTTACATTACTAGAACAAGAAACGACACAGCTGGGATTTGGACCCGAGTCCTGGAGAACGGAGACAAGCGCTCTACCAGCTGAGCTACTTCGTAGGTAAAATATAAAATGACCTGCTTCGTCTAAACGTCTCGGGCTTCAGTCTTCACAAGAAAACGCTGTCGCTAGTTTTCGAACGTTGGTGGTCAAAAGCAAAGTCGAGGCTTCTACCAATTGGCCCACTTCTTTGAGCTGCTACCTGGCTTCCTACTCTCTCTGGTTCTAGTCCAGGCTGGGTGATTCAGCGAAGCAGAGGAGTACTGTACAGACAGCAGAAAAAATTTCCCCACTCGAGTGACGTGAAGAACCAAGGGAAGCGGGCTCTCGGTTCAGGGTTCAGGATTCAGATGAGACATCGCGTCGCCTGCCATATAGAGGGAACACCAAGGGAAGCGGGTTCTCGGTTCAGGATTCAAGATTCAGACGAGACATCGCGTCGCCTGTCATTGTAACAAGGACAGTTCTGCCAGTACCCTCCAGGCAAAACTGCAAGCAAAAGTGTGAAGCAATTTTGTAGGTTTTTGATATTCGACGGAGCAAACAAAGCCACACCACACACACAAACAGCAACGCGGCGGCGCGATGGTTGGCACACGGCAAGCCCGTCGAGCTTCCGAGGCAAAACGAAGGAACCCACACCCTTACCACGCGCGTGACTGGCGTGAAACTAACTAACAAACAAACTCTCAATCATTCTGAGAGAGTGGGCCGGCGGCCTAAGTAGTTTGGGCAGTTTGTTCTCTCGCTCTGCGTGCTGCCAGCCTGCGCCCATCGATTAAAGGCGAAGGAAACAGAGGAACTGAGGCCGACGGGCCTGCTCGCTTTCAGCGAAGGCCACACCCCTGCGCTGGCAGTCGCTACCAGCCTGCGCATGTTTGTACTCTGCCAGACTAATTACTTAGAGACAGACCGACAGACCGACGGCGCGAGTCATGTGCTAGCAAGCTAGCCCCGCTTGCTTGCTTCGTTCTGAAACAACCCCGACGAGAATGGAGGGGCCTCGCCCTTCCTACCTTGGTTCGTTACTTGTTTGCAGGTTTCTTCTCTGTCTCCCTCGCTCCCATTAATTATTAATTTACTAAAGAAGTTCTTTCGAATTAAATAGGTTAGATAGAGACAGAGTAACGTAAGTAACCAACGAGAAGCCTTCACTCTAAAGAAAAGCAGCGCTATCGCCAAGCCACGCTACAGATAAAAGCCCCTCCGTCGCAAGCTGCGCCCCATTCTTTCGCGCATGAATGTCTGTCATACAGAGCACGTTAAGTAATAATTAAAGTAAGTAGCTAGCTAGCTACCTGGCAGCTATGAAAGAACGCACTGAAAGAAGCTGGCTCGCTACATTCTTTCATACATAGTAGCTAGAACCAACTAACAAAGCGGGAACACATGCAAAAACTTAAATAAAGCCCGAGCGTTTTGCCCTCAGAGAAACAAACAAAGAAAGCGAACGAATTCCCAGCGAAGGAAGCCCTCAGCATGCACATGACCGACCGGGCGCGCCTTGCTAAGCTACGCACTGAGGCGCGCCACTCCGGCAAACTTAACTAAACACGTAGCTAGATGGGCCATCGCGCTTGCATAGAAAGACGGACGCCCCGCCTGGCTGACGCGCGTGACTATGTGCCACCGCTCTCGTCTCTCTCTCCTTTTTCTTCTCTCCTTTCTCCTCTCTCACTCTCTCCCTCGCCTCTCTCTCATTCAACATCGCGAGGCACAACTACCAAAGAAACCCACTGCCTTTGCCCTCTGAGGGTGAACGAAGTAACTAACTAACCGACTCAGGCAGAGCGCACTCAACCAAGAAAGTCAGCCTGTCACCGAGCGTCGCTCAAGCTTGCATTTTGTTGGCCCAAGAGTTGGCGCTGGCCACGAGCTTGCGCCCATCTCGCGCGCTCCGGCTCGAGGCGTGAACACTGACGTGGAGCATCTTCTGGGAACATCCACGAAGCCCCAACCGATTGCCTCACTCGCTCCAAAGCTCAGAGCATGTTTTTGTTGTAATTCAGTGCGCGCACCTAGCTGGCTACTCGGTCTTACTTCGAGTTAGACTGATGGGTAGGCCAGCTTGGCTTCCGCCTCAAGTTAAGTATTTCACTGACGCACGGCCCTGCGAGACTGCGACGCAGAGCTATGCCGTCGGCGATCAGCGTCGTGCTTGCTGCGACGACACTAACAAGCAGCGCGCTCCCTGGCTGTTCTTAAGGCACTTCTGCGGCGCAGTGAGTGCAAATAAAGCGCCTGGGGAAATCGGTCAGAATTCATTCGCTTCACCGCATGCCACACAATGCGTCGCTTCCCGCAAAGAACTCGCACAGCACCGTAAGAAGCAAAGAAAGAACCGCGCCACTTCTGGGTTCTGCGCGAGGCATGTTTTTTCTTAGCTCGTCCTTGTCTAGTAGGTCATAGTCATGCGATCAAGGAGCGACTCTAGTACCTTTCTCCTAAGGAAGTAACTACTCACCTGATACTATCAGAAATTCACTCATTCATTCACTGACTCATTCATTGACTCATTCATTAGCTAGATAGATAGATAGATGTGCCCACTCGTGGGGTGTAAGATCATTCATTCATTCACTCATTCATTCATTCACTCATTCCTTCATTCCTTCATTCCTTCACTCCTTCATTCCTTCATTCCTTCATTCCTTCATTCCTTCATTCATTCATTCATTCATTCATTCATTCATTCATTCATTCATTCAGAAAGGCAGGAGACATCAGCCACGACGAAGCCCCAAAAGCCAGCATGTCCTACTTGCTGACAGAAATGAGGACGCTATCTATGATAGTACAAAACCAGTCCGAGCAAAACATCAACGGTCGCCATAAATACGTCGCAAGTAAATACATAGGAGAGCTGCGCTTGATTGATCTAGATCCATTCGCCGACCTTGAGCAATCATTTTTGCCTGCGGGAAAGGAAACCGCTGAGAAGGATCGTCTCATTAATTAAGCTATTCAGAATAAATTCACTCAGTCCAATGAATAGAGTAGCCGCCTGATTCATCACGGCTCTCACTCGTGATTCGTCTCACTCCACTAGAGGAGCCGCTTACGCGTCACGGCGCATGTGAGACAAGCTGGGCTGATACTCAACTGCTGGCACTCGCATTCAAATGACGACAGACGCGTAGTCTGCCTGTAGAGTGCAAGCTCTGCTGCACCTTCTTCAAGACTGTCACTTGCAGACAGCTGCACGAAACGCAGTCACGCTCTATGCACAACAGAGCATTCTGCTGGTCTCCACTCAGTCAACACGCCTGCGCGCAGCAAGAGCAACCAAGTATGTCAAAAATGTTAGGGAGAGGCTGCGCGCCAGCAGTCAGATTATTGCGCGTCGGAGTTTTGCAGATTCATATCTATCGCCATGCGCATTCACTTTCAAGGTGTAGGTCGTGCGAAAACGTCTTCAGAAAGAATGGCTATGTATGAATCAAATTCGTGACTAATCTCTGAGAATGGGGGAGAGTTTGTTGTGTATCTGTCCTCTTTAATTATCAGTTCACTTTTATGCGGGGGCTGATTCTTGTGAGAAGGTCTTTCTTGTAAAAGTAGATAAGTGCCGTATGCGAGTGGGAGCCTGCATCACTCAGTGTCCTACGAAATGAGTAGCGCAAAAAGATCATAATTATTCTTAAACAAACTACTCCGCTCTTGTAGTGTGTTAAGCGGCTCATACATAGTGCTGCCCTGCATCCATCTGCGTGCAGGACCTGAAGGGGATAACGTATAGCTTCCTACCATGATGCTAATGCTCATTTTTGAGAAACCGGGGCTGCCTGGTGGAACGAAAAACGCCACTGATAAATATGCCATGCTGTCTTATGTAAGTCAGTATATAAGTGAAGATGCAAGACGCGACGTATTCATTGCGCCACCTGTACTGTAGGAGCGTGGTTTATATCGTTTCAATCATAAGAACGAACAGCAATATTTATTGGATTCTTGTTATTCGTAAATTAAGAATGAAGACAACTGCTCTGACGGAAATAGAGGCCAGCTCTGTTCGTCAGTCTCGTATGTATTTCTTATAAGTAAATTTTTCATGGCTCGCCGAGTATGTTGAAGTCAATAGAAATAGATGCGTGGCCTTCTTTACTTATCCTGGCAAGAATGGAAATCAACTGAAACGACGCAACATTAATGTCAGTTCCATCTTCAAAAATATGCTCCAGGGGAGAGGGGTGCAAGCGTCATTTACAGGCGCAGATCAAATAGAGGGAAATACTTAACAAGTCTGCAAATGCGAACGGGTGGAGCGATGCATAGTATGTAGCTAAGACACGGAGATCCCTCTCATTACAGAGCAAGACAGACAAGCATCAACCACAGCGACTCACCTTCCTGATGGATTTCGATTGAGGTAGACGCCGAATCTACATCGATATTCTGAGGTTCTAGCAAACGACAAAAAAAGACAGATCACCCAGAGACTGATCACGCCGGTGAGTGGTTGAGGTTAGTTTATTGATATTCGTAAGTTCAATAGCTGATAGACCAGAAATAAACTCACAGTGCGACAACTTGTCTTGGCCGATAAGATTTCCATTCATCTCAGTGAGAATGCGAAAAGGTAGCAAGAGCATGAAGAAAACATCATACTCCTACAGCAGATAGAAGACATAGACAGAAAAACGCAGCAGCTGTAGATCACGCGACGAGCCGGCACTCGATGGCTTGGACGATGGCGATGTAATATAAATATATGTTTATTGGCGCTGGTTCATTGATTCGCCCGTGGATGGCGCACATGTGAGGGGACCTAAGATCTGATCTGACTCACTCAGAAGTTAGTAAGAAAGCATTCTCATTCGATCTGTCTGTGTACTACTTCATTTTCATATTTATCAATCAGACTGGTACTAGTATGTAAGAGCGTAATGAAGTATGACTCTAGTATGCGTGTAGAATGGGAATAACTTCCATCACGTTGAACTTGAAGACTGTCTGACGAAGAAGTGGCGACGTTTGCTGTGTGTTACGGCTTCGTTTCTCGATAAGATAGTCAGCAAATAACATGTCAGAATCAAAAGCATCTATACGATTTACCACATGCACATCTATCACAAACTTTCAACTGCGCCCATAGATAGGGATCGACATGCCAACAGCTCTCACTCATGCTGAACAAAGTACAGACGGAGGAAGCCAGGCAGGTTCCCGCCTCAAGGGTAACCTGCAAGATCGAAAAATCGAAACCGTCGCTCCTAAAGATCTATACAAAGATCATAGAATAGAACCAGAAACGAAAGCTACTAAAACTTATATATAATAAAGATCAGAGCTTACATATTTCCGGCCTCTGATGTCCTGTGTCCTTAGTATGCGGTGCGTCGCCTACTGTGGGCGCATCTTCTAGATACCCGATGATTCATGCGTGGAGTCTTGAAACGAGTGCAACATTCGGCATCAAATCAAATCAGAAGTAACGTATGAAGCTACCTTTTCTGCCCACCTCATCGTACGAAAATCAATATCATTCTTCTAAATCTAAATTTTCTAAATTTTCCCACTACCACTCAATGCCTTCTTTCTCTAGTCTTCCTGCGACGTCCATATTGGTCGTCTCTAAGTCCTCCTTATTGTCCGTCGTAGTGGTGGGCGCCTTCTCTGTCGTAGACGTAGTGGTAGTGGTAGACGCCTTTTCCGTCGCTGTCGCAGTCGTAGCAGACGCCTTTTCCGTTTTCGTGGTAGTGGTAGATGCCTTTGCTGTCGCCGTCGTAGTAGACGCGTTGTCCTTCGCCTTGGTAGTGGTAGACGCCTTTCCTCTCTGCTTCATCTTTTTCGCTTTGTCCGTCGTATCCAAGAGCTTGTCTTCCTCATCTTTCTGCTCGCCTTTCTTGCCTTTCGTCTTGGATTGCTTACCTTGCTTCCCGTCCTGAGATGTGGGCTCTGTCTGCTCGTCCTTCTTGTTCTTCTCCGAGGTAGTAGATGCTTTTTTCTCCTTTTTGTTCGTAGACTTAGCACTGGTTTCTTTCTGTTCATCCTTCTTGCTTTCTGATTTCACTTTCTTGTCTTTCTGGCCATTGCTATCAGCCTTAGCTTTGATCTTCTTGTCGTCAGACGCAGCAGGGCTCTTCTTCGTCTTAGAGGTAGTGGCTTTAGGAGTAGTGGTAGACTTTGCACCATCAGACTTGTTCTTAGGTGTAGTAGATTTCTTGACCTTGTCGTTGTTCTTTTTGACGGCTTTCATCGTAGTGGTAGGAGCAGGCTGCTTTGGTTGTACTTCAACTTCTGCGGCTTTCTTGAACGTTGTAACTTCATCAAGCGGCTGATCTTGTTGATCTTGGTCTGCAGCAACTGCATCTGCCATATTCGCATCTACAGCGACTGCATCTGAAACAACTGCATCTGCAGCAACTGCAGCTGCAGGAACTTTATCTGCAGCACCAGCTCTATCTGCAACAACACGATCTGCAGTAGAAGTAGCGCTCTGCTTCTGGGGCGTAGCCGGAGTCCGTTGCACGTCCTTGCGAAACTTTTTTTGTGGTGGACTCTTCACAGCTTGCTCATCTTCAGGTACAACTTGTTCTTGATCTTTATCCTCATTGCTCATTTTTCCGGGCGATGTGGCGAAGTAACCATTATCACCAATGACCTCCTCGAAGAACTCTCCTGAGAATCTGCATGATTTGATGTTTCTACGACAGTGGTCCAGGCCTGGAAACTCTGCAGGCTCTGCTTCCTCCGGGTCCACATCCTGGCTCTCATCATTGCCTTCTTCTACGACGACTGGGCCCTTGCTCAGTCCCTCATCTTCATCAGATGCTTCTTCAATCGTCGAGAGGGCTAGGCCATTCAGCCGGCGTGTGATTGTTGCTGTGTGTTGTTCCCCTTCTTGTGCTTGTTCATTGTCTTCACCTTCAGTGAGATCAACGACGGCGCTAGCGGCGCTGGTGTTTAGCTTCTGACAAGATGTAGCTGATGTGTCAAAGTCAAACGCGTTCAAACTTTTGGATGTGGTTTCTCCGATCAATTTCGACTCAACAGTAGTAGCATTAGAAGTCGGCGTAGCAGTAGTAGTAGAGGTTTTCTCGGTAATGGGTTGTTGATACGGTTTATCAGTGGAGGAGCTGCTCGGGCCACCGGCGGCTACCGGTTTCAACGCCGAGATTAGAGAAGAGTGAGTCTGCTTCAGACATGATGGGACGGGAGATAACAACTACTGCTGTCTCCCTGGATTCTACTATAGCCGTCAACTCTAGGTATAGAGCCATGGGTAAAAATCTAAAGACTATCTAGAAACCTACAAGAAAGTCCAAAGGTTATATTATTTAGAAACTTGGAAAAAAAGCGTAAAAATATTTAGATATCTAAAAGAAAGTCTAAAGATGCCCTAGAAATCTCCTTGAAAATCTAAAGACTATGCGTCCACTACTAAATTTCAGAAACCTGACAAAAAGGCTAAAGACAGAGTAGCAATCTGGGCTAAAATCCACAAGTAAGACTAGGTAGAGATCTGCCTCCCTGAAAATCTAAAGAGTAAGTAGAATTTGTTAGCAACGTAAATTGAAGGCTAAAGCTTAAGCTTTGCTTTAGCAAGGAAGGTCGCGGCAGCGATCTAAGTTGAAGTTAAGGCCAATCTAAATGAAGACCAACCTTAGATAGTGGCACTCTAGTAGATAAATATCTAGTCGGAAAGGTTCGAAGTCAAAATGTAATCTGCTAAACAAGAAGAAAGATGTTTAGACAGAACTGAACTACGACTAGAGAAGCTGGCCCTTCTGTTTTGGTACATTAATCTCGAAAAGGTAAAATCTACGGACAGTGAGAATTGAGAACTCAGCTCGCGAGTGTGCCCATAACGTTAGATACTGCTCGAATTCGGCTTCCCCCATCGCGTCATCCTCTCCGAAGACGTGCCCGTCTGTCAGGTCTTCGGCAGCCATGGCCTCAATGTCACCTTGATCGACATCCATATCTTGGCCTCCATCGTCGAACAAGTCGTCCGCAGAATGCAGCAGAAGCTCTTTCTCTTTCTTCTTGTTCTTCTGCCTTTCGATGGCGAGGATCTTCTTCGTCTCATCACCAGCTTTCTTCAGCAGCTCATCCAGCTTGTGCTTTTCCTTCTTGTTCATCATGTCGCAGTACTCATCTTCTTTCTTGTCGAAGAAGCTGTTTAGCAGACGCGAGTCGATGTTTCCCTCAGGATCTAGATAGCAGGGGTCGATGTCGGCAACATCTAGTCCAGCAAGGCCGCTTGCAGAGCCTTTTTGTGGCTTCACGCTTGCATCCGCACCTCCTAGTCCACCCACAGATCCTTTTTGTGGACTCATGCTCGCAGCAGCACCTCCTAGCCCCAAACCTACACTAGGCGCAGGAGGAAGGAGAAGACCAGAGCCGCCAGATCCGCCGCTCAGGTTCCCAGCTTGTTCTAGCCCGTCACTACCACCTGCTTCACCACTTAGACCTCCAGTACTACCTCCAGTCTGATTTGGATTTTGTGGCTCTTCGTTTTCTTCCTCTTCCTCCTCGCCTTCTTCCTCTTCTTCCTGGTTGTTTTCCTCATCCTCGTTCTCTCCTACGCCTTCATCGCTGTCTTGTTGAGACGCTGGCCTCATTTCGACATCTTCTTGCTGCTCCTCTTCTTCCACTACCTCTACGTCCATAGCTTCGGCTTCTTCGCGGTCGTCGGCTCCAGCCTTCGCAGCGTTTTTCATGATTCCGCCTCGCTTCTTCAGCTTTTCCATGTTCGTAGTGTTGGCCTGTGAGTGAGTAGGGGGAAGGAGGAAAGATGATAGTTACTTTAACAGCGGAGGACACTACTGAAGTACGTCAAGATGTGGCTGAAGCGCACATCAATCATCTCTCACTCTCAAAGATTGATCACTTCTCAATCTCAAAGACTGACTGATAAAAAGCAAAATAAAGCATAACAGCAAAAAGCAATCGTGTTCAAATGCAAAAGCTTACTGCCATACTTACAACTACAAGATGGCATTGCCATGGATGAAGCAGAAAACAAAATGATAAAAACACGCACTGCACTGAAAAAAATGAAATGAAAGTAAGTGACGCGACTCGCTCCTACATGAAAAAAAGGGCCTACTCTCTCGGATGCTGATGGGTGGATGGCGTGATGCGCTCTTAGTAGCCGCCTACTGTATGGTAAAAAGTGAGAGCAATCAGCGACATTTCAAATTACGCCTTCTCCAGAGATCTATCGTCTATGCCTGAACGCTAAAAAAGTTTTCTCATGAACCTCCCTCGAGATCAAAACTAATAAATACCTTTTCAGTGCGCGACATGACCTTTTTGCCTTGTTTCACTTGTTTCAGGATGGATCTCGTTGATGGCTTGCTTTTCTTGGTCGTGCCGTCCTTCTTCACCTTCTCTTCTCGTTTAAGAGCCGCTTTGGCCTGTTCGATTTTCTGCACCAAACCCGCTGCGCCGCTCTTCTCCAAAACCGCTTTGCCGTCCATGACATAGTTAGAAATGAATACTCTTCATCTCCATCCTCATGATCAAGGGCAAGATCATCTCGAGGCCCATGGATGCACTTCGCTTTGAAAAGCGAGCTTCGGCGCTCAAGATGATCCACGAGATGGATTAGCTACGAGGAGATGAATTAGCTACGAGAAGCCGTAACATAGGGCTTCAATTTGCACCACTCGTTCTCGATCTCCTTGATCCTGGTCTCGTCCATGTCCTCGCCTGTCAGAGTGAGATAAGAACGATTATAGAGCGGAGAAGTAGACTGATGACGATAGTGATGATGTGGCCACTTGATGAGCCCGAACTCGATCACATCAATGTCGTAATGAATATTGATAGACTTAGCGGAGTCGATATGCTTGAGCTGAAAGCGCAAGAAAGAACTGCAATGCCGAGTATCTATTGAGCGAGCTGGTTATTGCTACCTAAAACATTAAAAGAGTCAAAAAGTTTTGGGTTGTAGTAAATTGCTCTTGGTGTACGTAGAACCTTGAGTAACAAAGTTATTACTGAACATTCAAAGCTAGAAGAGTACGATCCTCAATCATCTGCGCGTCGAGATCAATGGACCACCGTTCGATGATCGTTCTGTACTTGTCATAGCCAAGCTTTTGCAAATACGCAAATCCCAGGCCCACATTGTAGTCCACTTTAGAATAGTGAAACTTGAGTATGTCGTCGATCTGAGTCAGTGGGGAAGCAAAGGCATCGGACTTAGATAGTGAAGGTAGAAAGTTTGAGGTGGAAAGATAGGAGTGAGTCAGTGCAAACTGATGCTGTAAATCTAAAAGAGGCAAAGTGCTAAGTCTCACGGTGGTGCTGTATTAAATTCAAATCTAAAAGAACTAAACGAACCGAAATGGTTGAGATTTTGAAGAAAGTTGACGTTGAGAATCTCTTGGATCTAAACACCTTTGAGAAATCACATGCTTGGAAAGTCAAAGAAAATCCAGCACAAGCGAGTAGTCATTTGCTGAATAAAACAAAGAGAAAGAGTATCGAGTGGCACGCACCAAGTCACTCAATCTAGAGACCAGAAAAAAAAACTCATATAAGCAGAATTAGTACCAGCGTTGCTTTCTGCATCAAGGCTTGTTTTGCCCAGGTACGAAAGTCTTCAGACCACCACACGAGAGTCTTGAACGAGTGCACGGACTCATCAGAGAACTTGTGCATCTGTACGTTGGTAAAAATTTCCGTAACCATGGCGTTCGCCTGCAAAACCATACTCTTTGCTACTTGGATCTCTTTTTTTGCTTCCTGGGGATGGTCTTCAATGAGCCCTGCTTGAAATCCCTGCGCATTAAGCTGTTTTTCTAGTCGAAGCCACAGCTTGTTCCTGATGCAGTACTTGATCTTCTTCACCGAACATTAGATCAGGGAGAAGGGGGCAGTGAGGATAGAAGGATACCAAAGGCAAGGAGGAGGAGGACACAAGAAGCACGTGAAGTATTGCAGCTCGGTTTTTCGTATCTAAGGAGATAAATCAGCATCCATAATCTTGGTGAAAATTGCACAGCCGCTCGCGGTAGATGATATCAGCGTGCAAATCCAGCGGGTTGCCGTTACACCTGGTAATGTAAGTATGATATCAGGACATCAATAGTCAACTGTATAGCAGTAGAGTAAAAGAAAACTTCTTGCAAGAGCTGACGTGGTTGTTGAGTGGAAAAGCAAAACTCGTCCTGATGAAGAAGTCACGTACGCTTCGTAGAGTAGCGTCATCGATTCTGCGAGAGCCTCTTTGGATCTGCTGGCCAGCCTCAGACTCTTGTTCAGGATTTCGATCGTTTCTGGATCATCGCCATCCATTCCAGCCAACAGATTGATCGCGTGCGCGACGTGCCCTACGAGATCGTTGACTTCCTCTGCTGTTTCCATATGTTGCGCTTCTTCTGGAGTTTAGTGGTAAATAAGATATAGATGGCCATAGTATAAATATACGCAAGTCCTGACGTCGGTGCAGCTGCAGGCGCATCTCACTACATCTAATAGATACATAGATATCAATAACATGAGATCGTTCGACGAGCATAAGTGAAAATCAAGAACATCATCTTCGTCATACGTAGAAGTAAAGCGTCAAGCCTTCAGGCGTCGCTTCAGTAGTAGGGATTCTCTAAAAACAGTGGATACATAGAGATAGAAGCGGCGTGATTTTTCCTTAGGTCGTTAGGAGTGACGCGACTTATAGCCTACCAAGGTAAACACATGAGATGACCCAAAGCTGCGCAATGGCAGCTACTGGCTTTGAGATGGGAAACCTTCTGATTACCGAAGGAATGCTGTTCCTACTGCAGTGCAGCATACCTACTATCTTGCCAAGCTCTTGAGGTTAAGTTGTATTTTCCTGAAGTCGTCAAGCACTCTGGACTAATCAACTTAAGCCATAATTGAAGCACTCGACGGTTTTCGGCCAGTTGAAGCTTTAGAGTTTGCGTCGCGTCTCATTGCAAAGGCGGCGCGAGAGTAGGACATACATGTAAGTAAGCATTTGGCTATCAATTTGGTACTGGTAGGAGAAGTCATGGTAGGAGATGAGCAATGGTAGCACAGGGGGAGCTAGTGAGTTGCATCTACGACTAATAGCCACAGCGTCTAAATCTATCTCTACAGATACACTACACATCTCGGCCACCGCAGGCAGGATGGATGAATGGGACACATAGATCTGATAGATTCAGAAGAGAGCGTGGGGCACGCAAGGTAGGGAGGAAAGTTGGACTATAGGTAGCTACACGGCGTGTCTGCCTTAAACTTTCACTCTTCTGAGGACCTCAGGAGGTACTGGCGCTGGTGCTCGGGTTGGTTTGTCGTTGATTCCTCCAGAGGTGAGTTTCCAAAAAGCCGCTTCTTGCCGGGTACTTCTATGATAGGAGTACTTCTTTTTCGTGATCATCTCGTGCATTCTTAGAAGGGCGAGCTTCTAAATAATTAGGTCACTGCTCCGAATGTGATGAGTCTTACCTTCGGAAGCTCTAAGGGTGTCCCATCATCTGAGCCACGAGACTCATGGCGACCATCGGACGCAGCTAAAACTTAGTCTAAGAATAAGAAAGTCTGAGTTTTTGCAAAGAGATAAACGATAGATAGCACAGCAAGATGCCGGGTAGGAGTGTTAGTAATAAATACATCTCTCCCTGCACATGTGTAATTTATTTACTTAGCACGAATAAAGAGCCATCCTGTGTGCACTTCTCTTGGATGGTAGACGCAGCGTCTTACGATGCTTAGGTCAGCAGACTACGCCCATTAGTGGAAACGCCATATTTCGGACGCCTAATTATTTTAGACTAGACGGATAGACCACATGAGATCGTAATAGCATCGCTGCCGGCCCCTCTCGCATGCGAAACTGCGCTACGTCCCAGCAGTACGACAGGAACAAGGCGAGGTCATACACTTCATTGTGGTGCTCCTTAGGGTCGGCATTCTTTCCATGAGCATGCGCCATTTCGTCGAGGCCCTTCTCGAAGAGAAAATCCAAAAAGTTCGCATGCCTGTGAGGTAGATGGAGATCAGATAAGAGAGTAGAGAAGACAAAAAAGGATACTGAGTGCTTTAGTCTCAGAATTCAGAAAGGTTTGGATATTTAGATATTTAAATATTTAGAAATTTAGAAATTTAGATACTTAGATATTTAGAAATTTAGAAATTTAGAAATTTAGAAATTTAGGTATTTAGAAATTTAGGTATTTAGATATTTGATACTTAGATACTTAGATACTTAGATACTTAGATACTTAGATACTTAGATACTTAGATACTTAGATATTTGGATATTTGGATATTTGGATATTTGGATACTTGGATACTTTGATAGTTGGATATTTGGATACTTAGATATTTAGATACTTAGATACTTAGATATTTAGATATTGAGATACTTAGCTACTTAGATACTTAGATACTTAGATACTTAGACACTTAGAGACTTAGATACTTAGATACCTAGATACTTAGAAACTTAGATACTTCGATATTTAGATACTAACTTAGAGACTTAGATATCTAGATATTTACATACTTAGACGTTTACATACTTAGATATTTGCATACTAAGATATTTACATACTTAGATATTCAGAAACTTAGAAAGTTTAGAAAGCTTAACTTAGAAGCGTTAACAAACTTAGAGAGCTTAATTTAGAAAGCTTAATTTTAAACTAAGCTTTCTAAACTATTTAGAAAGCTTAATTTAGAAAGCTTAACTCAGGAAGCCTTAATTTAGAAAGCTTAATTTAGAAAGCTTAATTTAGAAAGCTTAATGTAGCAAGCTTGACTTAGAAAGCTTAACTTAGAAAGCTTAACTTAGAAAGCTTAATTTAGAAAGCTTAATTTAGAAAGCTTAATTTAGAAAGCTTAACTTAGAAAGCTCAATTTAGAAAGCTCAACTTAGAAAGCTTAACTTAGAAAGCTTAACTTTGAGAAAGCTGAACTTAAAAGGCTTAATTCAGCAAGCTTAGAAATTTAGAAAATATCACTGCGGTAGGGCTAGATAGATAGTAGCTAGATCAGAAGCCCCTGACTCCTGCAAAGTTTAAGGTACTCCATACGATTTCAACCCAAAGCAAAAAAGCAGACCGCTGATTGACCTGCTGGACATTCGGCTTCTCATTATACATAATACTACGCAGAAACCGAATCAATGCGCATCCGGTAGCCAGAACAACATAAACTAAGTGGCACTGACGCCGTAGAAACTAAAGAGGAGAAAAGAAGCTCCATCGAGGTTGTGCCTGACGATACTCCCTTCATCGAGTCTAAGTCTAAGCACCTTTGACGCAATGCAATGTCTAGTGACAGCACTACGAGTTTATGCGTTCGAGTACAACGCTGAAGCGAACTTCTAGAGTGAAGGAAGAAGAGTAGAAAGATAGTGCAGAGGGGTAAATTATGCGTGGTACGTGATGTGGAATTTGAGCTGTTTCTTCGCAATCTCCGTGCTAAGTTCGGTATCGTGAAACGGTCGCAGCAGATCATATATCGCCCATTCCGGGAAAAGGTGCTCGGAGAAACCGGAATTCGATGGTCTGATGGTTCCCTGTGTGTGGAGAGGGTTTGATGGATTTCTGTGTGTGGGTAGGGTTTAGTCGTTCCCTCTGTGTGGAGAGTTTCAATTTCCATGGACAGCATGAAGCTGGGTACTCTTTTGAAAGACAAGACGTTGAAGTTGTGGCCTCACAGTGAGGATGGAACAGGAGACGGAAAAAAAGGTAGGGCCTAGATGAGATATAGCATCTCTGTACATAGTATATAAGGCGATAGTGATTTTCCTAAATTTGGAGAAACTACGATGGCAAGACAATCAATGGGACTTGGACGAAACGCAACGATTCTGGAGGAAGCATATGACTATGAGAGGAAAGACCTGCGTCACACTGGTGAGTCTCAAAATGAAAATAGTACGACCAGCTTAGGAAAGGAAAAAAAAAACACAGATACCACAATCAGATTCAGTTCCTTCGTCGTTAGCGGCGCAGGAGTTTCCGTATCCTTATTAGCGTCTTGCAATTTGCGCAACTTTTCATGAAGGAAGCTCGGAAAAAGGCCACCAGTTGAGGGCACGAGGTCCTGCCGGATGCCTGGCGTGAATGATGGAGATATATAATTAAAGGGTGGGCAAGGCATTTATTCGAAAACTATGCTACAGCGTAACGTGATCCATATATCTAAAAAGAGTCAAGCTACCTTGTGACTTTGCTGATGAGCAGGCTGATGCCGATTTTGATTTTTTGACGAGGGTTAGCTATGATGGCGGCCATACTTACTTGTGAGGCGCAGGCCCTAAAAATTCTTGCATCATGTGGGAAACAGGCGAACATATGAAAAGAAGACGCACTGCTAGTTTTACTCTGAAGCCCAACGACATGTCTATGATCAAAGTAATTTCAAGAGCGTAATCAACGACCAGGCGAGTTGCATTTCTTTTCATACTGAGTTTGAAATTGAAAGTAGAGCTTCGATAATTAAGGAGCGAAAGCTCCAGTCAAAAATACAAAGTACCTTTCAATAAGTGCGACTCCTTCTCGTTGTTTTCCATAGAAGAAGGCGCGGCCTTTGCATTCTTCGCCTCAAGCCACTGGTCATAAAATTCCTTGAAAGGAGCGTATTGGAAACGGCTCGAAAACGTGCGCTGATTCTTTTGCAGGGTGCCCAAGTTTTAGATGAGAAGCTGCAAGTACTAGAAAAAAAATCTCAATCGAAAAAGATTTCTAAAGAACTTCAGACTATCTTATAATCTGACTGCGACCCCTAAAAATCTACACAAATAGCAGCTTCTTCGCTGCGTTTCTGGTTCCTCATAAGTTATATAGGTGAAACCTTACTAAAACCTTTCGGAGACTGTAGCTGGAACTTGTTGTAAGTCTCTTGAAAATGAATGATAAGCAAGCTGATTCTAAGAAGACGCTCCACCATAAGTAATCACTCCGCGGATCAATCCTTTGAGGTGCTCGTTGTTCTCAGGATGAAAGAGGCCACGGGAAGCACCTGATCGCGTCTACAGTGCGGAAAATGCAGCAAAAGGGGAGTAAAAAAGACAGGGCTCCTCTATAAGAAAGACGTAGTGAGGGGGACGAGGATGCTTCCGGTGAGGGGTCCTCTCCCCTGGGAATTGATGCGGTAAGAAGGAAAGATACGACGGCCCAAGGAATGGCCATGGAGCTGATGACAGCTACTATTTACTTCTTGCCTCTATTTATTCACTCACTCACTCATGCTTTAGTAAGAAATTGACATTATAAATTTAGAAAAATGGCGGCTCCACCGTGTAGAAGTTAGTAGGTCTAGGCTTGACGATAGATTCAACCTCGATAGTGGTATCTGAGTCTATTAGTGACTGTAGCAGGACTTCACGTATTCTTTTTTAGAAATAGCGAACCCATCCTCTCCATAATCGTGGCCTTGAAACCATTCGATCTCCTTGATCCATTTCGACACCCTGGAATCAAGCGACGCACGGCCCGTTCCTGGCACATTATTTCCTCTAGGGTTGGGGGTGTTGTTACCCCTTTTTTTTGGTTTGATTTCCCCCACGTTGGAGTACATGGTGAAGATTTGGTAGTCTAAATTAATTGCTTAAATTTGGTTTAAATGAATGAGTTGAGATTCTAAGCTAGATGAGAGATTAAGCAAACAGCAGATATTTATCTAATGGATCTTGTTCGAACAACCGAAAATATAATAGCTACTATAAATGTCGCTAGATATCGTGAAAACAATATGAACAGTCTACTCTTACTCTAAATGATGAAGTTTGCAAATTCAAATCCTTCAAGTCACGTTTTACAAGAATTATCAATAATTAGGAGCCTTAAGTTGCGAAATGGTTTAGTTAGTGAATACGAAAAGGATTACGTAGTTTTGATATGCCTTGTTTCTGATGGGGATCCAAAATATTCGGAGATCATGTATATAATGAAGATACCTAACTGAGAAGAAAAACCTGGAAACTGCACTGCGAAACTTCGAGTATGACAATCCTATACGCCATGAAATTCGGATTGGCGACAGCTGGAAGATATGGAAGTCAGGTGCTGGACGTGCCACCTTGAGTGGATTCTTTCTATATTTAGTCTTTAGATAATTTAGATTATTTAGATTATTTAGATTATTTAAAAAGCCGAAGTCTATGACTCATCCACTTGCATTACTTTCTTTTCTCTTTTGTAAGAGGTTGATAGATACGTAGGATACTATAAGGAAGAAGGACACTAAGTGCTACGGGGATGAACGATAGAAGATAGTAAGGGACTAACTTTATATTTCGGTCGTTGAAGTTGAACTCTAGGTAGCTACCATATGGAATGACAAACGAAACTTCTGCACGGAGCGATGAACGAAACTGAGATAAAAACTTCTAGTACATTGATTTTTCTACTCTTGAACTTGTCGCACATTGAGGCTTTTAATAACGGATAATATTTGCTTTTTACAGAAACAAGAACAAGATATTTGAGATCACGAATGGTTTATTTTTTACATGACATCAGATAGACACACTTTACAATTTAGATTTTTTAGATCTCAGCCTCCACGTCAGCACTTATTTCCTGTATCAAGAGTGTTATATCTTCATCACAGGAAATAAGTCTTATGGTAAGGCGGACGGTTGTTATACGCTAGAAAAAAGGACCCAGTCAGCGCAGGACTGTACATGCATAAACGCAGCACCCCGTCGCTTCGCAACAAAAAGACCAGAGCAACCCAAGCCATGGACTCTTACTTAGAAGCAAGAGTAGGTCGGCCCACAAGAGGCAAGCACCCAAGAAGCGTAGTTAGTTCTCGCATTTCGTCGCAATTGCTAGTAATTGCTACCAGTTGCTAGTAATTGCTAGTAATTCCTCGCACGTTGGCCATGACGAGAAGAACCGCTGCGTCTGGTGATAGAATTGCTTCTATCCTGACTTGACGCCAACCATGAAAGACAGCTTGTAGTTGTCGTAGTAATAGATCAGTCAAGTTTTTGTCTGAAACTGATCGCACGCGCGGCATGCTGAAAAATCACCGGCAAACACAGGCAAGAGTCGCAAGCAAATTTGCATGCAAATGCACTGGCATCACCAGCACGCACTAGCAACACTATCAAATCCGCTAGCAAAACCGGCAACACAAGCAAAGCTTGCCTGTAACTGGAGCGACATACGATTTTTTTGCATGTAATTGAAAATAAACTCCTTGCACATAATCAAGAAGATCCTTATATTTTTCTACTTCCTAATCTAATGCTATCGATGAACTACATCTGTTCTTTTTGAAGAAGATGGCGGTGAAAACCTAAACTGGGATGTGACTGACTGATACAAGCTTCAAGCTTCACATGCTCGTCTCTCACATTCGTCGAGACGTGGTCCCTCGACTCAGCCTCTCCGTCTCTCAGCAACCACACTCATCATCGATCTTTAACAAGTTCGAGCACGATTGCTTCGAAATCGATGCCACTACATGCGAGCGCGAGTTGTTGTATGTGCTTCTGGTATTCATTTGCTCGAGTTTTTTCAAATCTTCATATAAGTCAGTGAGTCTAATCGCTGTCGGATGAGTCGTCTACTCCTTCTACATTCTCCACGTTTCTGGTAAGAAAAAAATCCACGAAAACGAGATGATTCGGAACTTTCTGATACGATTCTACTTGCACATATGCTTTAGCCCTCTTATCAAGGTCGTCCTTCAGCTCTCTATCAAAGTGCTTTTTTGCCTCATTTATTGCCGGCCGAACATGCTTTGAGAGAACCTTGCAAGCGTACTTCTCTGCATCATCACACATTTTGGGATCACTGTCCTCGTTGGAAAAATAGTCCGTCTTCAGTATTGGCTTCATTTCTAAAACCTTTTCCACCCACTGCGCCCAGCACACTCCTGTCATGCGCGCACCTTTTTCGCCATAAAGGGCAGGAGCTGATTTACGACTTAGCCGCATCTTCAGACTTCTTAAAGTCGCCTCACGCTCTTCCGGAGGAGTGACCTTGACGCCGTCCATCCAACTGGTTAATTTGCAACCATACCCCAGTGGAAGCGCCATTGCTGCATCACGATCGGCTTCAAACAACTCTAGTCTTGCTAGTTCCAATTTTTTCTGGTGGGCAGCTCGTTCTTCGTCTGTTGCTCCTCGTAATGGATTCGCTGATTTAAGTGTGGAACTAGGATCCGCGTTTGCTGCTCCGCTAGCCTCTGGCGCTTGCGACCTGTAAAAAAGATTCAAGTTAGAAATGTTACCCCACAAGAGTAAGATAAGGGACGACAAGAACTTTGAGATTTGCGTTTTAATGACAAAAACAAGTAGAAAAACTCAGTGAATATCTATGAACAATAATAGTCAATACTGTTGCCCCACGACGGTGCGCTGTTCTCTTTTTTGCTTACGCACTCTGGCCTGCTCCACCAAAACTTCGAAGGCAATATCACTCATCTTCTTCAAATCTTCATCATCGGCTATGTTGTCAACCACCTCTGCCTGGTTTGGCTTACCCAAACCACCAAACAACCAATCCAAATCTTCACGAACTCTTCTCGCCTGGTTCACGCCCATCATTGCCCGGCGAAGCCCAGCTTTGTCTTCAGTGTGCGTCTCCGCAAAACGAGGTGAACTAGGAGCGTGCGGAAACGGCTTATGCCTCTTCTGATTTTTCGGCTTATCTTCCGCAGCACGGACTTGTCTCGGTGGAGGCGGCGGAACAGCGCCTGCAATGGGAACGGCGTCACGAAGAGAGAACCGCAGAGTCCCATGAATATGCTCTACTGTTTCGTACTTTGTGACAGCTGCGCCGCTTGCTTCGATTTTCCAAGGGTTGACCGGTGGCTGCATCAATTGTACTTCCACCACAACCTCCTCATCCAACGGCGTGGATAACACCTCACAACAAGTCAGCCACGCAGTCGGCTCCGAGCCTTTAAGGCTTCCAGCGACGCAGAAGATCTTAGTCTCGATGTCTTGTATGCTTGTACAGTTGTAGAACTCAATGTGACCTAGTCGATGGATCTTGACCATTTGCTTCTCAAGTTCACACGCCTTGCCACTCTGTATCCCGCCTGAAACGCTCTCCCCTAGACGAATCAAGCCGGATTCCGCGCGTAGATCAGGAACTACTAGCTCCGGTTCTACTGGTAGCGCCGGCACTGTAGGAATCTGTCGACAAGTTGAAAAAGATGCGCATGGCCCTTTTTCTAAGATTGTGTTTGCTTCTCCGCGAAACTGTAGTTTGGTTACAACCTCTTCCTTGCCCATGTACACGCGGAGCTTCTCTTCCCACTCAGCAAGCTTCTCAAGATTCGAGCGCCCTCCTTCAATCTTCCGGTCCAATAGTAGTTTCCTGTACTGCTCAGCGGTGTTTCTACTAGTCTCATCTTCTGCTGACGCAAGGGTTTTCCACTTCTTCACCCCTCTTGAAAAAGTCGAATGAAGTTGACCTTCTGTCATATGGTCGTCGCCCCTCAGTTCACGCGACTCCCGCTCTTTCCGAACTTGATCCGCAGCATAAACTCCCTGCACCCGCATCATTTCCACGTTTTTTAGAGCCTTGCAGCGTGGAGCCTTTTCTGCTGGTGTTGCCAAGCGATCCAGCGTCTCGGCCCCAAAACTTGCGCATAAAGTGGAACAAGAGGGTGGATTTGGCGCTCGTGAGTTGCGTTGTGTGATACTATGCGCATTCTCGGATCGGTTGCAGAGGTTAGAAGATAGTGCTTTTCAATCCAAGTAATACTTTGAAAAGTTGGACGGAGCTCCTGGCCCTAAAGATGTCCACAGAGTAGATTTCTTTTTGCCACACCCACACCCTTATCCAACTTATGAAAGAGTATAACTCGAGATAAATTCACTCGGTGCCGTAATTGTCAGCACCACTGTCTCTTTCCACAGCAACAAAAGCTGGCGCAAGTACTCATATGCTCCTTCGAGTTCTGCAGCATTCGTCGTCCGCAACCATTTTCTGACCTTTGCATTGAAATTCCCATTACACACATGCAGAAGAGGGTCGTCGTCTGGCAACGCTACAAATCTTGCCAAAGCCGTCGTGAAGTTGCTTCTTGACTGTACATGCTCCAACAGAAGATGCGGATATCCTCCGACTTCCTTCAGAAGCCGACGCCATCCTGTTTGGTGACTCGCTACCGCCCCAGTTACTACCTCGTATCCAGCATGTACTTCAGCATTACTACTCCACCGCAATAAAACTCTAATATACATGGGGTAGTTCTCGAGCATCAAGCCAAAGTCTTCCCCGGCGTCTTTGTGCTGCGACAGGGCATCCCACGGACGTCCAGCATACAATCTGGCGGCAGTCGGAAGTAGCATAGAGGTTATCAGCAGAATATCAAGAGAAAATAATTTTGCTGCTGCCCAACATTTGCCCCAGTTACTCGCATTGACCCAACGCTCTCCACTCCAAATTTCTCCTTCCTGTGATGTATGTGGTAGAACTACGTCCTTGAAGAGAGCCGCGAGACCCAAGCAATCGATCGCCAGTAACGCCTGCAGGCAGGACTCTACTGTAAACCAGCGATTAAATGCTGGCTTTTGAATCCGCCGCCGGACCATCCTTGCGAGTACCCGGACTACCATGCGGCGCAGCTCCTCGTCGGTCTTACTCAAACGCGCAGGTCCTGTGACGTAATACTTTTGATCTACCCATACCAGACCAAGACCTTCTACGTCTTCCTCGTCGAACATATCGATGCCCAAAAACGCAAAGAAGTGATGCAGTTCGTCATGCCTCTGCTGCAAGGTTTGAAGATGCTCGCTACTACTTGGTTTCGTTATTGTTACCCATTCGTCTATCTCACCTAACATCTCCGCAGACCGCTTTTTCAGAGTTGTTGTTAAGGTGTAAATCAAGGTCCCAAAAGCCTTGTGTCGTGATTTGCTGTCGCCTTCTGCATTCCATAGGCCCCTCGCGGCTAAGTAAGCTTCAGCTCCTTCTATACCAGAGAGGCTCAACTGATGTTGACAGCAGTCCATATTCAAATCCAGAACCATGTCGTTGTTTGCCCATAGTCCTCTCCACAACTTGTTTAGCCGTCGCATAGGCCCTCCCGCGTCATAAATCGTATACCAAATGATCGGAAATTTGACTGGTACTTGCAGAAGACCTAAAGCACTACCAATCAGCTTTACGATGCCTCTCAAAGCTGCTCCTGCAGTTGCGCCTTGCCCTTTCATGTCAGTCCACATAATCGGGAAGTGATACGCAAACTTTTTGTACCATTTTCCAGATGAAGACACACTACCACCACTACTGAACGTCGAAGAGCTAGAAGATGCTCCACCATAATCGCCGCGACTAGATGAAACTACTCTTCTATGCATCTGCGAAAGTGCTCCTTGGCGCGGCTGCCCGGTCAATGAGACCAAGGCGCTACTCACCAGCTCACGATCTGCAACAATTTCATCTACAGACTGCGCTTTTGTTGTTTGCCACGCCTGTAGTGTAATTGGGTAGCCATGCATTGCGTCGGGCAATGTCGTTTTCATTGTTCCATCACCCAAAATGTCAATCGTCCTGCTGACTCTCAGTTCTTTGCCATCTGTTTCATGGTAGTAAACCGTCGGCTGATGATCAAGATGACCCTGCAGCAGGCTTTCCTGCGTTGCTGCGTTTAAAAGTCCTCGCACATATTGAATCGCACGCTTTTGCAGATCCGATCCTTTTTTAAGTAAGGCGCGAAGCGACCCCAGCGCCAGTCGCTTCTGATCTTCAGACTTTCTCCTCCTCCGCGCCATGATAGACCTGGAGCAATGGTAAAAAGCAGGAGAGATATTTCTGAAAAACTAAATAGTTCAGTACATACAAGCACAAACTAGCTAGCTACTACACAGCTGCTTAGTTAGCTAGACTCATTGTCTGCCCCTTAGTTGCAGTCTACCTACCACGAAGAGACAGAAGCTATGATCTATGCTTAACCAAATTTTCAGAATTCAGACTAAGCTAGCATACCCTCGCGGGCAGCCCCTTTCTTACGCCCTGAACAAGGCCCCTACGCAACAAACAAAAGACACAACGAACCAGAGACACCACCCGCGAACGAACTAGACAACCAAGCCGAGAAGTTCGCAGAACGCTGCAGCACCCTCATTTTTCAACACAATAAATTCATTGGCCCAGCTATGAATCGCAAAGAAGCAGCAATCAGTAAGTCACTAACCATGACTGAGCGATAGATAAGCACACAAGAAGAAACTAACTAACACTATCATTGAACATGCTGAGATAGATGCGTAGACGCACAAATTGATAACAAAGTAAGACACACTGATAGATAGTTAGAAAAACGGACACCCTGACAAGCAAGCTAGCGCTAAGTTACTTAAAGTATGCGCCAACGACCCACGCGCCTCGCAAGTCAATGAAAACATTGCTACTGCGAGTATGTATGTTGCTTTCAACGCCTGGCAAGCACGCGGGATGTCTCACCGACTCTGAGCCACGCCCCCCTTTGGATCACTCAATCAATGGCTTGGAACAAACCAACCTACCGACCCGCACCCCAACGCGACACACAGACTGACTCGCCCCGATGAAAGAATGAAAGAAGGTTTCTGAAACTAACAAACGACAAACTGACAGACCGACCCCACGCAGCCAGCGAACGATCGAAAGAACCAACAACCAAGGAGGCCCCACCCACTGACAGACAGACTCACCCACGCCCTCGCTCTGCCTGCCAGAGTCTGGGCACGCACGCAGCGAACGCGCGCAGCTGCACAAAGAAAGCGAGCCAACCAGCGCCGCCGACAGAGAGACAGACCGAGCGACGGACCTGAAAGAACTAACAAGGAAGCCCAGCGGCCGAAGCCGACTGCCAAGCTAGCACGCACGCAAACAATGAATCAATGGAGGCAGGCGGCTTGCCTTGGCGGCGGAGCCCATTGGGCGGGTCAGTGAGTACGAATGTAATAGACTCGCTGAGCAAGGCGAGGAGGCAGCCCCCTCCGTCAAGCAAGCTGGCGCCGGCCCTCCCCGTCCCCGATATATATATAATATACAAACACAGCAGCGCTTAGGAAGCAAGAAAGACAGCGCCAGCGAGCTAAGACGCTCCTCCGCCAGCGACATGCTTGCGCTTCGTTGGTTCCGTCGCGACTCGTTCGCACCACCAACGGCAAGCGCGGGCAGATGCCAGCCCGTTCGCCGCCTCACTTCCTCCGCACTGACAGACCGCGCCGCTGCTCCTTTGGAGCGTTCCTCGCTGGTTCGTCCGGCGCTGCAATTAAAAGAGTGAACTTCCGGCGCAGCGGCCAACGTCTCACCCGCCGCCTCCGCTTCCTTGAAAATAAAAACGCGCCCGAGAGAGTCAAGTCTTGGCGGCGAGCTCGTTGCGCGACCCGACAGACAAAGGCCAGCCCGCCACCAGCTTGCCCGACTGCAGTGACCTGGCTGCGCGCAGGGAGGCAAGATAGAGCCAGCGCAAGTTCCGCGAAGTAATTAAATCTTCGCCAGCGTCTTCATCTTTGCCACCTTCTTCGGTCGCCAAGCTAGCTACCGGCCCGCCAGGCAGCGCCTCCCTATCGTTCGACGAGTCTCCATTCGCGCGCCCCGTCCATCCTTTCAGTCATGTAATGACTTAACTAAACTCGAGGAACCGACAGAGCCACTCAGTTTGCCAAGCAACGAGCTTCAAAGAAGCAAGAGCAGCAAGCCCGCACCGCTCCGCATTCTCGAAGGAAAGCAAGCGCGAGCAGCCTCCTGCTGCAGGCTGGCAAGCCCTCCACCTCCATCGATCCTCCTCAAGCTCAAGAAAAGCGCGCGCCCTGTTTGAGAGAGAGAAAGACCCACAACGAGCAAGCCCTTCCCTCCGCAGGTCCTTCACTCAAAGCAAGCGCGGCCCCCTGCTCGAGGGAGCGAAGGAGACAGAAGACCACACACAGAGCCACAACGGACGCGAAGACGCAGACGGCAAGCGCAGCCGGCCCTGTCCTTCGCTGGCTGCGTGCTCGCGCGCAGTGTGTGCGCCTCCTTGCTTCCGTCCCTTCGTTCGGGACAGGCTTTCTCCGCTGCGTCAGTCAAGGAAGCAAGCAAGCCCGTAGCCCTTACTTAGGGCCTCGCCATCGCTGCGCACATATTCGCAAGCCCCTTTCTACTACCAACGAACAACGACAGAAAATACCTGCAAAAGCCAAGAGCAGCCCCAGGCGGCCCTCCGTGTCGTTGGTTCCTTCTCTGCTCGCGAAGAAATTGGCTGGCGAAAGAAAGAAACAAAATCAAAGACCACCAGCAAAATAAGCACGCCCTGCAAGTCTATTCCTCACGCAGCCTCGCGAGCCAGCTTCAGCCAAAGCTGGCAAGCGGCACAACCTGGTTTGGTTAGTTTGATGGAAAGAATATGCCTGCTTCATAAATCCGCAAGAATCTAACCTCGAAGCAAGCTAGCAAAGAGATGCGCGATGAATTTTTTTCACTAAGCACGCGCCGAGCCCTCTGGCTCGGTCGCTTTGATTGCTTGGCGCCTTCGTTCTGTGAGTGTGTGTCTATTAACTTACTATCTAACCTAACTTACTAGGTAGAGAGCCGCTGGCTAGCAACCGACGGCGCAGGGGGAAGCATGAAACCAAGCGCGCCGCAGCACAAAGAGACAGAGCGAAGCCACACAGAAACCAACACACGAAACAAAGCAAGCAAGCAAGGAGGCTGGCACACTCACAGCAGGCCCGACCGCTGCAAGCAGCCGCGCCTGGCTCAGTTTTTTTCCCTGCTGAGAAAGACTAACAGAACCAACGCAAGCCCCCAGCTGTCATCAATAGCGAAGACATACATATTTACAATAACCGTTCAGAACAAAGCAAGCCCGGCGCGCTCCCTTCGTCGCGGAAATCTCGGCCCTCAGTCCAGACTCTTGAAGAGAGTGAGCCCGCACCCACTCAGTAAGCGAATCAAAGAGACCGACGCCGCAAGCCGACAAGCTTGCTAGCCCTACACGCAGAAACAAAGTGACCCCGGCCCTGACTGCAAGAGCCCCTCCGAGGTTGATAGACTGACAAGCAAAGAACGACAGCAAGGCTGACGGACGGAACTCAGACAGCTGCCGGCCCCCAGTTGGTTCTAAGTAAGTAAGCCAGGCGGGCCATGGGCTCTGGCCCTGCTTGCGCGCGTCCTCTCCTTCCTTCGTTCGGCACCCAGTTGGAGTCCAGCGGCTTCCTTCGTTCCTTCTATGAATGTACGTAAGTACTGCGACCAGGCTGGCACGTGCCCGCCCCTCTATTTTGTTATCTCAGGCCAGCCCATCCACAGGCAGCCATCCTTCGTTCCGTGTCTCCCTCAGCCTGCCAAGCCTTTGGCCCTGCCTCCCAGTGGCGCCCACCCGTCGGCCACTGCGTGACAGACTCAGCCCAGCCAAGCAACGCACGCCGGTCCGATTCATAGCACCGACCAGGCCCCATCGGTCCCAAGGAAGCCTTCCCTCCGCTACTCCCTCGAACCCGAGGGAGAAGAGGGAGAAGTCTGACTGACTGAGTGACAGGCGCACGACCTCAGGCGCAGAGTTGGCGAGTGCATATAGATGCCAAGCGAGCGAGCCTGTGCGTGACACATCGCCGCGCAGGCTGGCACGCACGCCGGCCCCCCCACGCCACGAGCATCCAGCCGCGACAATGAATACTCACACCACGCACGCACACGGACGCGCACCACCTGCAGAGCAGAGCACGCGCCACCGATGGATGAAGAAACAAATAAACGCACGCGCACCCATTGTTTGTCTGACTGACGACATTCATCGCGAGCAAGCTGAGAGAGACAGAGAGAGCGGGCCGACCTCGCTCAGCGACCCGCGCTTTCTTAGGCACGCGGGTCCTTATCTAAGTGGCCGCCTCTCTATTCCTAAAATGACTGCCCACCAGGCAAGGTCGCTGGTCCGTCGGTCTTACTTTCCATCGAAGCCAGGCCGGTGCGCGTGGACTGACAGGGGGGTGCTGCATGAGGCACGCCCGGAAACTAACAAACAGGCACAAAGCTGCCCCCGTCGGTGCGGCAGGCGGGGGGCCATCCGCTGACGCTGACAACGGTGGCCCACTCAGAGCTGAGACAGTCAGAGTGTCTCCGAGGGAGACAGAGAGACTGAATGGAAGTAAGTTACTTAGTTAGTTACTTTCTTACTTACATACATACTTAGCCACCAGCCTCCGCAGGGCCTGAGTATGTAAGAAAGCCCACAGGAGAAATTACACACACCCCCCGACAGCCTCCGCGCTTGAGCCAGCTCAACAGACTGCCAGCCAAGCACGCAGGTGGCTGGCATCCGTCCCTCCCATGCTTGCAACGGACGGAGGGACCCACACGGGGGCCAGGAGAGTGAGAGGGAACAAAGCGCCAAGCAACGCGTCCGCCATCCCTTGGCCCACGCAGACAACACAAGCCACCCGCCTGAGCAAGGCGAAGCCGAGCAAGTGCGTCGACAGAGAGACAGCGAACCAACGCCTTCACCCAGTTACCCACGCAGCGCCGAAGCGGAAGCCCCACGACTGCCGGGCGCTTGCATTGAGAGAGAGCAGAGAGAGACCGCACACGCCTACGCCCTCCGCCGCTAGTCCGTCACCTTGCTAGCAAAGAAACCCCCCCACCCTACCACCCAGGTCAAGTGAGCTGCTACCAACAACCAAGCAGGCAATATATAAGATAGACTGACACAAACAATGAGTAACTAAGTGACAGAGTCAATGAGTGAATAAAAGAATCGGCCCAGCCTGCGCGCCAAGCTAGCTCCCCAGAATGGGAGAGGCTGCTAGGCAATAGATGCGAAGCCCTCCGCAACTTCCTTCCCGGAGGTTCAGATGGATCAAAAGAGTGAGCACGCGACACTCTCTCCCTCGCAGCGAGCTCACACACACGCGCTAGCTATAAATTAATAACTAGGGAGCTCATGAAGCTTATTAGTAGCCTGCAGGCTGCTCGCTGCTCCCAGCGAACGGCTTGGAACCTACAGTACAAAGAAACACGAAGGCAGGCACAGGCGTGGGCCTTCTTCTCTTAGTCGAAGAAAGTGAGTACGCCAGCCCTTTTAATTTCTTACTTTCATTCTGAAAGAGAGTGAGAGCGAGAGAGAGAGAGAGACAGAGAGGAAGAGAGGGCAGGCGCCTTGCCTTCTTTCTTGGATGGTTCGTTGAGCGACTTGAGCCCCTGCACCTTGCTAGGTAGTTTGGCCCGCCGCCGCTCACCAACCTACCACAGGGAGACTGACTCACAGACACTACACTCAAACAACCACCCCCCCAGGTAGCTAGGTAGCAGCTACCCACAAAGAGACAGACGCACACAGCGCAGCCTTGCCTAGCTATCGGCCTCCCACCCTGCTCCGCTTTGCTAGGAAGGTTGGTAGCAGTCCGTCGATATATAGTTACATAGAGAAGCGCGCTCTTTGAGTCTCTGCGAATTTTCCACAACGAACAAACAAGACAGCGAGCCCCTCGGCCGACCCATCAATCAATCTCACTAATATATAAATACCCACTCACTCACACACTCCCTCGCCCGCGCTCAGACAGTGAATGAATGAATCGACAGACAGAGAGACAGAAGGAAGAACACAAGGCAGAAAGGCCCGGCGCGCTAGCTTTGGTTTGAGCAAGAGAGATAGAAAAGACGAGCGAAAGAAGCGAACGAACATGCAGAGAATGAAACAAAAGCCAGCGCAGCGGTGGACGCATGAGGCCCAAGCCCTGCCCACGCGTCAGTGGCTGCCAGCTCCTCCAGGTGCTTCCCTTTTTTCTCTGTGCCCAGGGCAGTCTGTCACAGTGTCCATCGACCCCGGCTCCGTCGCTCGCTCCTTGAAAGTTCCAAGCGAGGCGCGCACATTCACAGACAAACTAAGAGAGAGAGACGCAGCGCGCGAGGGAGCGCCGTGCGTGCCTACGCGTTTCGCTCTCTCTGGGCTGAGCGGCCGCCAGCCTGACTCACTCGCCGAAAAAACTGAGAGAAAGAACGGAACAAAGCCACAAAGATCGGCGCAGGCTTGCTCTTTCATTCTAAGAAGTCCTTGCGGTAGTGAGTAGATTGATAGAAAGAAAGCACGAATGTAACTAACAAACTAAGTGACAAGCAAGGAGGCAAGGACGGAAGGAAGACTGATTGCCCACGCATCCCAGCTGACTGAACTTGGGCACCGAATACACAACAAACAAAGCCAAAGAAAGATAGAAAGACCCCCCCGCCCCCGGTGGATCGACTGACGCATGGCATTAGATGCCCAACAAACCACGAAAAAGACAGAACTAACAAACAAACCAACTATGGCACAGTCAGCCAAAGCAAGACCCAGCGCAAGATAGAAGCAAAGAACCAACAGACACAGCGCACCGCCTCCGCCAGTCTCTCTGCCAGTGCATGACTGAGCCCAGGCGAGCTCCATACTAACTTACAGACATACCGTCCCCACACAGCTCACAAGCCAGCGATCGCCGACAGACTGGCTGAACACCGCCGAAGCCTCGCCACGCACTCTATCAGACAACGAATCCCACACACACCCGGCAGCGAGCGACCAGCAAGCTTCGCCAAGAAAAAAAGAACTCAGGAAGTAAGTAACTAACCCCGCCCGAGCCACGCACGCAGACGCTACGCTACGCGCGCGCTATCAATCTGCGCCCCTAGCTAGCTTAACCTAAATAAAATAAATCCTGACGAAATAAAAGGACAACCAAGGCAAAGTAAGAAACCGAAGCAAGCAGAAAAGAAACAAGCAAGGAAGCCGACCCCGCCCGCCGTGCGGGCAGGCTGGCTCTGAATGTAAGTAGCTGCACAAACACGCCCATAACTAGCGAAAAAGCCCACACAGATACAAACAGCCAAGCGCCAGACCCGCCCGCTGTATCCTCAAAGATTCCAAAAAGAGAAGATAGAACACACAAAACCCGCAAACGGCAACGAACCGCCAGACGCGTCGCTCGACATATAGCCAAATATTCGAAACAGAGAAAGACATGCAAAACAAGCAAACGTCTAGCCGGCAGACCCGTCGGCATATAGCTAAATATTCGACGCCAAGAGAGACATGCAAAACAAGCAAACGTCCAGCCGACAGACTCGTCGACGCATAGCCAAATATTCGACGCCAAGAGAGACATGCAAAACAAGCAAACGTCCAGCCGACAGACTTGTCGACGCATAGCCAAATATTCGAAACAGAGAAAGACATGCAAAACAAGCAAACGTCTAGCCGACAGACTCGTCGACGCATAGCCAAATATTCGAAACCAAGACAGACATGCAAAACAAGCAAACTTCGAGCCGGCAGACCCGTCGCCAGATCGATTGGCTCTGTCCTGTGGGTATCTGTCTGATACAGAGATAGCAAACAAACACAGGAGGCGCAGAGGGGCCACGCATAGTATGCCCAAACACTCGAAACATGAACCCAAGCGATGGGCCCATCTATCCTTCTGCTTGGCTTTGAACGTGAACCAAGAAACGGCAGACGAAGAAACCCCCTCGAAACCCAAGCAGACGAACTAACAAGCCAGCGCGGGGCCCGTCCTCCTTGCACGCGTTGCAGTGAATGCGTGAAAGAATCAGCGCCGACAGATAATGAACATCCATCGCCAAAGAAGTAAACCAAAGCAAAGAAACACCCCAAAGCAAACGAGCCGACGCGGCGCTGAGTGATAGACAGACCGACGCACACCAAGGGAGGAACGAAGCTAGCAGGCCCATGCGCTAGCTTGCTTCTATCTTAACAAGCTGGGCCCTCTGTCTTCTTCGTTCCAAAGAGACAAAACAAGAAGAAAAGCAGCGAGCAAGGCTGGCCGACGGTCAGCCTGACAGCCTGTCCGCGACTCAGGGCTCTTCGCCTTACTTTCAGAGACACCAGCGGCAACGTGCTAACTCAGAGCGCAAAACAGACACAACGGTCAGCGGACTCTCTCAGAAAGCCGACCAACAAACACCAAGCAAACCAACAACGCCGGGAAAGCTTAGCCGGCTGGCTACGTACCCACCTCCCTAGCTTGGTAGTAAGAAAGTAGGTACGTAGCGCGACCCACACCCGTGGACGCAGTCAGCGGGCCTGGCAACTGCTCAACCGACGCGCACGCAGTGAGTAACGAACACACCGACCGACGCGGCACCCCAGCCACAATCAAGGAGAGAGACTGACCAGACGCCCAAGCCCGCCCCCATTCTCTGGGAGAGCAGATAGCCCACACGCGCGCCCGCAGCAAGCTTCACACGCACAGAAGGGGCGGAGCTGAAGCTCCACCCAAGCCCGACGCGATCAGCCTGTCCGGGTGACACTACCAAAAAAATGACAGAACACTACCGACCCGCCCTCGGTTTCTTACCGATTAATCGATCTGGTCGATTCTCATGCGCGTCTCTCTATCGTGAGTCGCTCTGCGCTGGTCTCAGCCCTGACTGTTTTGTTTGTTCGTTGTCTGAGTAAGTACGTGCCCAGATCCTCAAACAATGTATTATTTCAGAAGCAGAATCATCAACAAGTTGAGGCTATCCTAAATAACAAACTCTATAATATATCTGTGACGAAAGCTTTCCGCCACGGCGAAGCAGCCTCTACGAAAGGTCGTCTACTATGTTTTGGAGGTGCTGCGGATGCTCCTCACAGCTGAAAAACAAAAAGCCTCGCTTCTATCGGAAAAGAAGAAAATCAGCCGTGACGCACGGTCTTGCTGCTACTCTGCGATCGTAGTCTGCGCTCCATGCGCAAGCACTCGCATGTCCCAAGACCGGGGATGTGATCCATCGTTTCAGTTTTGATTTTGCTCATCGTGTAGCACCACTTCCTTATTTGTGCCTCCAGCGAGTTACTCGTTGCAGCTGGTGGCCATGTCTCCATGAGTATCGTCTATAGTCGAAAACCGACGCACACAATCGACCACTTTCCCGGCAGAAAGTTGTGAGAACGAAAGATAATATCAACACTGCTCATCTTTTTTGGTTTACATTTGTTTACTGCTCAAAGAAAGCGGACAAGGAAGCAAGAGCTTATCAGTCCAACAAACTGATAGCGATATTGCAAATCTCTCATCTCTATACATGAGCTGCCTTGGCGGTCGATCAAAGTAGAACTTACTTTGCTTTCTGACGAGGCAGAGGAGCAAGAGGAACCTCGGTAGATGTCCACTGAGTAAGCCCCACGACGTAATTCATTTTCTTAGACAAACAACAGAATACTACTGGCAATTCTCAGCCCCAGCGCGTCCTTGGCTCTGATAAATTGCTCCACTCGGAGATTAATCAGGAGTAATCATTGAAGATCTCCAACGAAGAACACAACAAGCAGGCGAGCGCACGACCAGTAAGTTTGTTTCTTTGCAACCTCTCGACTTTTCTGGCTTCATTGATTCATAGGAAGCAAGGGCCATCCTAAGCTAGAACCCGACGATGGCGACAGCACTATCAATCCAGCTAAGAGGCCACAGCCCTGCCCATCGGATCATTGAAGGAAAGCTATTCCATTTTTTTTGCCCATGAGCAAAGACGTACTAGACCCACGAAAAGATCTTACTTTTTTCAGTGAGTGCTACCACACAGACAAAAATAAACCAAGTGCAATGAGGAACGAAATCTAAAAGAGAACGAACCTACTGGATGAAAGAATGACCAATGACACAAAAAAATAGAAGCCGACAGCATCAGAAAGAAGACTAAGTCAATGCCTGGAAGTAGATCGCGCAATCAGAGTCACCCACCACTTAGCTTCCCCTATTTTTTCAACGGCTTTAGAGTCAACAAATCAACTCACTCCAGGGAGCTGCCATGTGACTCTTTCCCCACTCAGTCCCGCCGCCGACTTCGCTGCGCATCGCCATCCTCTGGCCTCGGCAGTTCTTCATACGTGTTAGTGTCACTAGCATACTTTTTAAAAAACAAACTCACTCACAGTTAGATCGTCATCACTTAGGACGGACCACATCAAGATACTGAAAAGAGACAGCGAGCAAATGCGGACAGTTCGACTTTGTTCGGAGCAAGGCTTGATAATTAGATACCGATGTCTGACAGACGAAAACCTGCTAGAGGATGCCCACGGAGACAGCCAATCATAAGAACAGCCTTCCATAAGAACCGCTGCGCCGCGTAAAAGAATATGTGCACGGAGCAGCCGCACGCCCTGCTTCCGCCATGCATCAACAACGAGCGTGTTTGTTAGATAGATCAAAGGACGAATACGGGCTCACTACGTATTTACCACCCATGACTGCCCGACGCTAGTCCCCTCTGAAATAGTCCTTCCAGCAAGCAACCCTCTACTTTTTTTATCAATCTAGTATCTACTCAATCTATTATGAATAAGGGAGCTTACTATTAACTAAGTAGCTCAGTCACGCCTTAACATAGAATCCACGCAATCGCCACACCCCTCCGCACAGCCTTCCCTCACGAAAGGCGGACCCAGAGCGAAGATGTCGACGTCGAAGTTGGTTTGTTAGTTATCATTTGAAAAGACGGGAGCACGAAGAAGGTGGAACGAATGCACTAGCATAAGTTAAGAATAATGCGTCTGGCTAAGTAACTAACCTATGTATTCACTGCGTAGAATGAAAGCGAAATAAATGCGATATACTGATAGATACGGCAAGCCGCTGCAACTTACTACCAACCAATCTTCGACCAGAATGAGACAGACGGATAGATGCCTAGTCTGTTAGGCTTAAATAATCAAGCTCACATCCATGCTTGCACACACTCGGACTCCCTCGGTAGTCTGTGTTATCCATAGGATAAATATAAATAATTAACCAGAGACGCAAGCTCGCCAATGAAAGCACGACACTGATAAGAAGGCCGATAGATACACTACCTAGGCGCATGCCTCGTTTTTTAGGCTGACACAGGTCGACGCATTGATTAAGAGAAACGGAACTAAGGAGAGCCAGCTAGCTTACAGACAGTACACGCAGCGTCATACTTACATACTTAGTTTGTAACAAACTAAGTCAGACTAAGTAGATGACTTTCTTAGCCTGAAACTAATTTAATTAAAAAATGTCTAGCCAGTGAATACTTGGCACGCCGTGCATGCCAAAGACTCAAAGCTACTTAGATGAACGAGGGCCCCTACCCCAGCAATGAGTTGGCTGCGCGCTAGCTTACGAAGCGCCAACTGCTGCCCCAGGCAGTACGTAGGTGGCTACTATGTAAGTACACTACGCTAGGGCACAAATATGACATAGCTCCTACCCAGACCAAGATAGAGGCCGAAGTAGTTTGCACTCTAACTATGTATCTTGCTTCGTTCGAAAAGATAAACGAAACAAAGCTAGCGCAAAAGGTACGACAGACTTCCCTCTTTTTACTTTCCGCCTGATGAGTCTTTGCTATTGCGAACACAAACGCACAAGCCTACCATTGGAAGGCCGCCCGTCTTCGTTACACAACACCCGCAGCCCACGTGTTCCCAGAGCAAGTCAGTCACCCTGCCAGCCTTGCCCCGGGCCCGGACGTGCTCATCGATCGAGCTGCATATCCCTACCAGCGTCCCACTCCAGCCAGTCAGACAAACAATGGACACAAACTCACTCGCTCCGAGCGTCCTACCCAGGCAGGCCGTACCTACGAGGGAACGAATCAATGTAGCCAGAGACAAAAAGACGAGCCAGCCCAGAAAGTGCTAGGTAGCTTACCCAGCACACAAGCGCCCCGGCGTTCCTCCACTCTTTGCGAGAATTTCTCTAGACAGAGCGAGCGCGAAAGAAACGAACAAGCAAACCAAGCCGGACAACTCACTGCTAGCAAGCTACCTAGCTTGCTGCGCACGCACCTCCATGCAACGAACTAGCTAGCTACGATGGCTGGTAGGAAAGTAAAGTAAGAACTAATCTAGCTAAGTAAAGCAGGTACCAACTTAGAAAGAAAGACCAACGCGAACACGGCTCACCCAGACACTGACTGACCCATACGACGTAGCATTACTTACAAACATACGTAGACACTCGCGCCAAACTTCGCAAGGAAGGCTAGCATCTACGTAACCACGCGCCGGCCTGCTACAAAGAGACAAACACACACAGATA